ACGATCAGCGAATTTATTCGACTTTGAGAGGTCTCTCAATTAATCATTCCGATTAATTATTCTCATCGATTGCGCACGGTCAATTTATACTTTACTAAATTTATACTTTAACCACGTGTTCTTCGCTGTGTTCTGTTTACTTCAGAGCAACGATTTACAATTGGCGACGAAATTGGCAATTCGCTAACGAGACAAAGAGATCGAGGTAATTCGTCACGTTTCAAAGGCATGCCCGCTGACTTATTTATCGACGAAGCGTCATAACTGTGGCAACGAGCGCGCCGGTGAAAACTCGCGCGGCTTAATATTTCACGAACGAGAGGAGAGATTCAGTCTTTTTTTAACCGCACCGACAAACCAACGGCACGTCGCGATAAAAATTCAAACGCGCGATTAACCACTTTGTTCTAAACGATCGTAATCTTGTTAACAGGCTTTTCGCGGCTTGTTAACAGGTATTCGCGATAGTTTCGCCGTTTCTGGCGCGAATAATTATGAAAGTTCGGCGTCCGCGCCGTGTTCCCGGAGATTCGTTAAATTTTCAGAGAAGCAGCGACGGGACGCAGCTTCGAAACAACGTGGATCCGCAATTCTACTCGAAAGCGGAAAAATTACTCGCCAACGTGTATTTTTGTTGTAATTTCATCTTCGTATAGATCCACTTTACTAATGATAATGAATTCATGTTAATAATATAATTTTTAACTTCAAGAAAAAAATACATAGATATTATACATACATATCAAAATAACGTTCAAAGGAGCGAAACGTTCGAGAATAAACGAAAGTTTGATAAATAGGACAAAATTTATTAAAGTTAAAATTACTTGCATTCTATGCGATGTCAGTAACATCATACAGGCTCTCAAACATTGTGATCTGACCAATATATGTTGAGACTGGTGAACATAATACTACTGTATTCGGGAACAAACAATGAATTCGAGAAAGCTAAAGTACCCGGGCGAACATTCGAGTCAATGCCGGCGGTGTAAACTATGAGGACAGGAGGAACGTTTCTGGAAGAAATGTTCACAGCGGCAGGTTTGCTGGAAGGGTTGGTCATAACAATAACAGTGTCGTTCCCTAAAGCGCGAGTGATACTCAGAATTCTCTGATCGTACACCTCGACCTTCAACGAGCCCCGTTCGATCACCGGCCGTTTCTTCACGTTCATCAGACTCTTGAAAACCTGATAATGAGAGTAGTACTCTTCCTTCTGACGTTTCAAGTTCAGAGTTTTGTAATTCGAATGGACGGGCAGCCAGGTTGTCTTGTTGGTGGAGAAACCGGCGCTGGTGGTGTTGTCCCATTGGTAGGGCGTTCTCTCGGGATCTCTGGATCTCAAGTAGTATCTGGCGGGACCGGAGTTGCATCCAACTGGATCAACCGTCTCCTTGTATGTGAAGTTCCTGTCCTCCATTCCGATCTCGTCGCCGTTGTAAATGACCGCTATGCCAGGCAGAGTCATCGCTAGCATGGTCATCTCGTCGGCTCGATGTCTACCGAATCTCGAGGCTACCCGATGGTTGTCGTGATTGCCTACCACCCAGTTCGCCACCTTGCCGCTCGGCACGGCTTTCATCCACCTGTCGATCAATCTTTTGAAGTCCATCGCGTTGGAATTGTTGTGCAGATCGACGATGAACATGAAGTTGAAGGGAACGGTGGACCCAGAGTTGTAGTACTTGACGGTTAGATCGAGAGAGGCGTATGCTTCGGTGAGGATCATCTTCGGGTCAGTTTTCGTATGAT